GTTTACAAAAAAAAGTGTACTTAAAACACAACTCGTACATCAAGGCAATAGAGCTCAAAATCGTTTGACACAACAGTAAAATGCTTACATAAAAACGTTGTTACTATTTTAGTATATTGTTTATACGTACAAAATAACTATATAAAAGCATCTACGGGACGGACAGACAAACATTTCTACGCACAGATATTTCAAGGTCATAGTTTCTGCAACATGATATATTACGCTTGTCTTTTTAAAAACGGGAGGTTTCCCAGTTTGGTCTTAATGTATGCATTTTTTTTAAACGCGGTAAATCATCGTTTGCATTCTCCCGCCTTTGTGAGGCGGGAGGGAGTGTCAGACTCTTACTGACTAAAAACCACCCCGTTCCTACTTCTGCGCTTCGAGCCGGAGCCCCGGTAACCCGTTAGGTTCTCCGCGACGTCTTAACCTATGTATATGTGTGGTTACAGTACAGTAACATTTGGCCTCTAATCATCCCGCGTTTGTCGTAAGACTCGACTAACGGACCACTTAGACACAGCCGGTCGCGTCGCGAAGGACACACCGGGCGTCGGGGATCGCGAGACGATCTCCGGCCACCGTAAGCGCGGGACTGCGGACGACGAGTATGGGTGGCTCCCCGTCCGACCAGAACCAGACCCGAGCGTACGGCGCCGAGCATTCCGCGCGCTCCTGAAATAGCCATCAGACCACTACAGATGGGGCCCAATAGGGCTGATGCCGATACGGAGCCGGGGTGAACTTAACGAGTTACCGGGGATCCGGCTCGAAGTGCAGGAGTAGGAACGGGGTGGTTTTTAGTCAGTAAAAGTCAGACACTCCCTTCCTCCTCACCCAGGCGGGAGAAGTCATTCGATGATTTTCTCCCCTTAAAAAAAAGGGACCACTTATACTTTTGTGTTTGGTGCTTAGCGCGCCCAACTTTTGTCGAATTAGCAACCATTTTGGCACAGACGTATTGGCAATTCTATGTAATATAATTATATTATATTGTATGTTACTTATATGTTTACTTTTAAACCGACTTCAAAAATAGGACATTCTCAATTTGATCTGTATGTTTGTACGGCATAATCTCGCGATTGGCTATACTGATTTTCATGCGGTTTCCAGAGTGTTTGTTAAACTTAGAAGAAGGTTTTAGGTATATTAATTAACAGACTTCAAAAAAGAGGGGGTTGAAGTAGGGTAAATCATCATTTCATAAGTTAACTCTTTCAGTCTTGGTGGTCACTGTAACTAACCACCTTTTCTTAGAAATTCAATTTTTGAAGTATGCGTCAAATTACTTTGCATTGGTTTTTAAGCATTTCAGTATAATTGAATAAAATATATTCGTAACCAGTTAAAAGTGTGACTGAAAGAGTTAAAAGAGGTTATGTTTATAGTACACTAATTTTTCTGCCGATTTCGCATTCATTCCATGCATAACTTAAAAAAAAAACTTTATAAATATGTTATGATTTAATATTACCAAAGAAATAGCTAGCGAGTTAGCCGATTAGACAGAAAGAGAGGTAAGGGTGACAGAATTATAGTTTTAAAAAGGATAGATAGGTCGGTTAGAGGCGACCTGCACCCAGCTCACTACAGTTTTAATATATTAGAGTTCCAAATCCACCTTTCACCCAATTTTAAGACCAAAGCTCCCTAACTCGAAAGCAGCGCCACCTATGCAGAAGTTGTGAAACTATGACCACCATATATATACATATAAAAATATAGAGTAAACGTAAGAGTTTACAGGCACTGGTTCTGGCTAGACAGTGAACAAAATTTCCGAAATTCAAAATACAAAAAAAAAAAAAAACTTTTTATAGAAATTGAGACGAGATTCGATTACTATTGTGTCAAAAATTGCAAATTACACACGTAAGTAAGATACAATATTGTTATTAGGCACGATACAAGTGTGCTCGATTACAAGTTACATTTCAGGGCTCATCATCATGGACAGCATACGCAACGACGATGTCAGTTATTGAGCATAATGTTCAGGGTGCTTACTCTTGAAACCAATCTCAATGTCAATGCAATATCAATCCAATAAAATCTCAATAATTATTCAATGTCAAAACTATACAACCCCAATTGTAGCTGTTAAAATAGCATTCCGAGTACGGTATAAAAGCCAAACTCAATACCATTTAGTTCATTCAATATCCACGCAATACGGATGCAATGGGCGCTATTGTTGCAACTCAAGAGTACGACATTTCACAATACCAATGTCGATCGATCGGAATTGGATTCCAGAGTAAGCCCCAGGTCATGAGTCAACCATTCATATTATGTTATATATAATATAACTGGGCTGAATAAAAAAGGATAACTATACTCGGAATTTTAATTCGATTCCAGATTTGACAATTTCAGTGATGCAACGTTATGACAAGTACTAAATAGTGACGTCGCGAAATTATTCGATATGGAAATGCAAAATTTCTGGATCGATTTTTCTCGTTTATAATTTTAGTCTCGTAAACTAAATATATCAGGAAATTAAATATTTCTGAACCGATAATTTAGTTTTGACGATTAATTAACGATCTGAGACTTTTCTTTTATAACTGTGTGAAATAAATGACAAAATGTAATCATGAAGGAACATGACAAATAAAACAAATAGATGTATTATGGTAATAAGTTATTTTATAAATTGTCGCCGTCATCGCTATCGCTATCCTGTCACTTTCTGTAACATTTATTATAAAACACACACACTGATTGTTTATCGATTTTTGTGTTCATCACTACACTATTATATGTGGTATCATTATTTCACAAAATGACAGCAGCTATTGTCAAATCTGGAATCTAATTAAAATTCTGACTATATATAATTCTGGGTGTCTTCAAGGCCCGAGTGAATAGATTGCTTGTGGGTCGACGTGCTCCATCGTAGACCACATCATCGGTTAGCACCAGGCGAGATAGTGGTCACACGACGGCCCATCAAATGAAAAAAAAATGACCGCGAAATTAATAGATATCGCACCTTATTACAAGACGTATAAAGTCGAAAATCGATTACACCATCTTAAAAACTTAATTTAGTCGTGATCAAAGTGCCAGTGCGTGCAAAACGTTACATTTACTCATTTTCACCTTCTTTTTTACATAAAACACAGAATAAAAATGAATTTGCTTACTGTACTTGATGTTCACCGTGATGATAATAAAGTTTCATTTTCAAAAACACACTTATAACCCCTTAAAAGGGGCAAGCAGAGGTGTGCTTGGTGCACACGATAATAAAAAAAAATTAAGGGTAACATTACACCCCCCCCCCCAATTACGTCATCTGTTCGCAATAAAAAAAGCGTTCCTTTTTTAAAAAACTTCATAGATGAAATACGGTCAATTATGGTATCTTATTAAAATAATCGTAACTTTAATAAGAATCCAAGCATCGAACCTTCGTCCTCATGCTCGGTAATCTTACATGCAAATCAAAAGTCTTTACCCAGATTTATAATTATACAATTTTCAAAACATTATCGAATTAATACTATAATTTACGAACTTGACATTTTCATATATGTATGTCGAAATATATAAAAGAAAAATCGCGATTAAAAACAATTAATATTAATTTTAACCACACACAAATGTCGTGAACTATGTTTTTAAATTTCCCTTAAACTGATGCAAATGAAACCAAAAGCCTCCCTATTGTTCATCAATAGGGTTCAAACCTCATGAAAAAAATATGTAAGTAAATAAAAAATGAGTTTCTGAAACCCAAAAAAAAAATCGACAAACTCGGTCGCACTAGTAAAGAAAAAAAAAACAATTACGCAACATTAAATGAAAATTTTAATAAAGTACAACCAGCTTTGCCGATCTTTAGCCATTCTTGTCAAAGGCGTACCCAACTCAGCAGCTGTACCCAAATGCCATTTAGCGCTTGTCTACATGTAGAATAGACAACCAAATTATATGGAATTGACGTAAATTTTGACACTTGTCAGTGTCATCCCCATACATCTTGATTTCTACTCTCTCGGTAGACAAGCGTTAAAGTGGCGTTTGGCTAAATGCACTGGGCCTTTCTATTCTACATGTAGACAAGCGCTAAATGGCATTTGGCTACAGCTGGTGATGTTTCAAACACATTTGTATGACAATAAAACATTTGGTATGTTCAAAGCACTTCATAATCACTCATTTAGCCATCTCATTCAGTCTACTTTAAAATAGGATAGTATACTAAATTTTATTTCAATGTCCGTCTGGTAGATTATTTTAAAACATTAGACACGTATTTTTTTTTACAAAAGGATGTTCTACCGTTTCGTGTCAAAATCCCGTGAAATGATAATGCCTAGGATATCAACACCAAGCAAGGAAGTCCTTTCAATATTATAAAAAACCAATGCAAACACGAGGGTTAAATTTTCTTTAAAGGATTGCATTTCCTCTATAACAAACACACTTAAAAATTGTGACCAACTCATTCATTACTAAAACAAAACTCAATATGAAATGAAACGAACTCAGTATCAAAATGTAATCAACTCATTCATTACAAACCAACTCAGTGTAAGACGTCACTCACTCAAAGTGTAACCAAACTCTATATCAAACTGTAACCGACTAAGTAAAATGTAACCGACTCATTCATTACTCACACCAACTTAGTGTAAGATGTAACTAACTCACTGAAAGGGTAACCAACTCAGTATAAAGTGTAAATTACTAACTCAAAGTGCAACCAACTAACTCAAAGTGTAACCAACTCAATATAAAACTGTAGCATACTAAGTAAAGTATAAAAAACTCATTCATTACTCAAACTTACTCAGTATCAAATAATACCAACTCACTCAAAGTGTAACGAACTCAGTATAAAGTATAAACAACTCACTCAACGTGTAACCAACTCAATAGAAAGTGCAACCAACTCATTCATTTATCAAACCACCTCAGTACCAAATGTCACCAATTCACTCAAAGTGTAACGAACTCAGTATAAAATGTAACCAACTAACCTGTGGACCGTCTTCGTCCTCCTCTGGTTCCTTATACTTCCTAACCATATGTTCTTCAACTGGTTGGAAGAGTAACGCAGCTGCCCATACGTTGAGCATTATGCCGCCGAGGATTAAGACTGCGCCTCTGAAAAAGTAGAGTGCAAAAGTTATAAATAGCGTCATAAATAAAGGATTTTATGTGGGAGAGATGGTTCTTCCGCTTCGGTACGAATGGGTCGACTCGACTGGCGTGATACCACGGCTGAGCAGCAAATTGAAATGAAACAACGCTTGACTTCTATTTCGCCTTTTTAGGTTCCTAAATATCCTTCGGAGGGAGGGATTGGCTCGAGGATGGGGATCCTCAAACACCAAAAGATCGGCAACGCAATTGTAACTCCTCTGACCATGGGCGCCGCTGATTGCTTACCTTCAGGCGATCCGTTTGCTCGTTTGTTGCACTAACACATAAAAAACTTTGTTTGAATTAGAATATTTTTGTTATTAACGGCAGTATTATATTTTCGGCACTGCTGGGTCGGCTCGACCGGAGTGATACCACGGCCGAGCAGAAAACCACAGTGAAACAACCACGGCGTTGTGTTTCATCTTGTGAGTGAGGTTACCGAGGCCTAATTACCCCCTCCCCAGTCTCCCCAATCCCCGAATCCCCCACAATCCTTTAATTCCCGATTCCCAAAAGGCTGGTAAAACACTTGTACCGCCTCTGGTGTCCCAAGTGTCCGTTGGGCGACATCGATTGCTTACCATAAGGTGATACGTCTTATCGGCTTATTCAAAAAAAAAAATTGTGTATTTTACTCACTTGTACCCATATTCTTCAAGCAGATACCTAAGTACGGGCGGTAGTATAATACTGCCGAATGCGCTGCCCGACATACAGATCCCGTTGGCCAGCCCTCTTAGCCGGACGAAGTATGATGTCACTATGTACACTGTAGGCGGGAAGGCTAGACCAGCGCCCGTGCCCACCATTGCACCAAAACTGGAATTTAATGTGGAAAAGTTTTATTTATTGTATATGAAACTAGAGTCGTGCCTGTATCATCAACCGCCTATAAATGCCCACTGCTGAGCAAAGCCTCTTCTCACACGGAGAAAGTTTGAGCATTAATCACCACGCTTCCTCAATGCGGGTTGGCGATTACAAACTTGTAGTTAGAAATTATAAGCACTGGTTACCTCACGATGTTTTCCTTCACCATTTGTCAGTGGTGCCTGAATAATCTTAGAAAGTACATATAACTCGGAAAAAGTCACATTGGTACTTGCCGTTTTATAATATATATATTTACTAATTGATTTATCCTTTCAGCTAATAGCAACTAAAAGCTACCACAAAGTAAAGTTCGATGGTTCATTAATCTGCCAATAAAAAAAAATAAAAAAAACATTACCTGAAGTACAAATAAGTTATAGAGAATGCACAGCTGCTGAATATCATCCCGAACGCCGCGAAACTGCCACCGATGAGCGTAACTGTACGATACGACCATTTCACTGATAATATCGATGACAGAGGACCTGGAAACATGAACGGAAATATTAGTGTTAAAAGGTCTAAAATTAAAAAAAGTTAAAAATTATTCATTATTATGGTTTCGGCTTCCTCACGTAAGTGTTTGACAAAGAACTCGACTGTTCTATATAGAACAGTTAAAAGTATTTAGTTTATATAGAAATTTCCCGTAGGCTAATCTTTTTTTTTATGACATAAGCCGGTAAACGAGCAGACGGATCACCTGATAGTAAGCAATCGGCGTCGCCCATGGACACTCGAAACACCAAGGCGTTACAAGTGCGTTACCGCTTTTGGGGAACAGGATTTTGAGGATCGTTGGGGATTCAGGGATTGGGGAGATTGGGGAAGGGAAAGGGGGGTAATTGGGCCTCCGGTAACCTCACTCACACGACGAAACATAACGCAAGCGTTGCTTTGCGTCGGTTTTCTGTGAGGCCATGGTATCACTCTGGTCGAGCCGGCCCAGCAGTGCTGAAGCATGGCTCTCACATACTAGAAATCATTTCTACTCGCAACCAGAGGGCTGGCTATTTCTTTGGACAGAAAATAAGCATTGCCATTCAACGTGGTAATGCTGCCAGTCTTCTGGGCACGTTCCCCAGTGACAGTGACGCAGACGGAATCTTTGACGCCTTACTGACGAATTTTTGATTTTTCCTCCGTTTTTTCTTCGCTGTTTTAGTTAATTTCAAGTTGTGTATTTTTTTAAAAATGGGACAAGCTCGCCACAACCCCCCAAAACCGCTGCAACTCCTGTAAGCCAAGATCTACAGTAGATACAACCATGAAAACACCGGAACACTGAAGTCCGGCGCGTCCCAGGGACATGAGTAACTGTCTTGGTTCTCGCAACGAAGTGAATCAGAAGATATTATAAGAGGAGATGAGAAAAAACGAGTTTCCACTTCTCTCAGTGAATTACTGCAGGAGATAGAATGAATTAAGCTTAAAGGCACAAAGAAAAGAGACTGTACAACTGGGTGAAGCCCAGTCACCGAGCACCACGGAAATTTGACTAAAAACTAAGTGGATGCCAGTGGGTTTAAGTTGTATTTATTTATATCTAATACTAGCTGGCCCGGCAAACTTCGTACCGCCTATTAATGTTTTTTCTCACCTTTTAAACCTTTTCTGGACTTCTACGAACATTTCAAGACCAAAATTAGCCAAATCGGTTCAGCCGTTCTCGAGTTTTAGCGAGACTAACGAACGGAAATTGATTTTTATTTATATAGATAGATTATAGTTAAAAGTAAGATCTGATTAAGCTACAAGTTGGTAACACAAGTTTGACTGCCTCGTTGGCTGTGTGGTCGCAATTACGATTGTCGGGCAAGGGGCCTTGGGTTCAAATCCCGGGTCGGGCAAAGTATTACTGGGTTTAAAAAAAATCCCAGTAGTAGCACGGACTCTGGAATTGTGTCCGGTATATGACAATAGGCTCACCCCCTATTACATGAGACTTATAACATAAATAGTGAAAAGTGGGTGTTACGCCTGCCTACTTCTTCGGGGATAAAAGGCGTGATGTTATGTTATGTTTGTTACCAACTCACCTAAACTGCTGTACAAGAAGTAACACAGCGCCACGATGCCTGATGATGCAGACGCGCTGGACTGGAATACATCATTGAACTCCACTAGGAGGACGCCAAACGATTTGATCGTACCAGGAATTAAGATGTTCACTAGCGTCGCACCTGTCAAGGGTTAATAGGGGTAAATATTGTGGAAGTATTAAACTGTCAAACACCAAGGGGTCACCGGTGACCGCAACCTATTGTTCTATGGGCATGGGCTTTTTTTTCGGTGTTTCTAAATTCTTATTGTGTGTCGTAGCAAAATAAATGGTTTTTCTTTATTTCTTTCTTTCTATAATTGTGTCTATAATGACGGTACTTGACGAGTTAATTGATTAAATATTAAAATCAATCTTTGCCCCACACTAGGATTGTCTCCTGTGTCGTGGGTGCGTTTACAAACATACAAGTTCACATACACATGACACACAGACCCGGAACAACAATTTGTGGATCACACAAAAAGTTGCTCCGTGCGGGAATCGAACCCGCGACACTTTGGGCTGCAGCCGGTTCCCCAGCCACTGCATCCTCCCAAAACCCCTGCAACTTCTGTAAGCCCGGATCTACAGTAGATACAACCATGAAAACACCAGCTGAAGTTCGGCGCGTCCCAGGGACATGAATAACTGTCTTGGTTCCCGTAACGAATTGAATCAGAAGATATTATAAGAGAAGAAGAAAAAAAACGATAGTTTCCACTTCCCTTGGTGAATTACTGCAGGAGACAGAATAAATTAAGCCTAAAGGCACAAAAAAGAGACTGTACAACTGGGTGAAGCCCAGTCGCCAAGCAAGCAAGGGTGTGCCTGGGTTTAAGTTGTATTATATTTATATATTCATAATACGAAGTCCGGCGCGTCCCAGGGACATGAATAACTGCCTTGGATCCCGGAACGAAATAAACTGAAGATTTTATAAGAGGAGAAGTAGCAACTAGTAAGAATAAGGAGTTTCCCTTCCCCAGCGTCTCAACAGAGTTTGATGGCCATGGTCTGGCTGATTACCTACGAGAACGCACCATCCCCACTTTCCGTCAGGTGGCACCATCTCCCAGTCCCGCTCCGGCGCCGGACCGATCGTGAACCGGCCGCCGCATACCGCATTCGAATCCTCCGGTAACTTCACTGTGGACAAAGAGACATAATTCATTAGACATTACATTTTTTTAGTGTTTTATCAAAGAAAGAAGAGAGCCTTTTCGAGTTTCCATGGGTATTCTTTCCCCATTATTATTCACTATATTTATTAACTTCATCACTCACAACCTTCAGTGTGCGTATCATCTTTATGCTGATGACCTTCAGATTTATGCTCGGGCTCGGCCGGAAGACTTGCCAATGGCCATTGACAGGCTTAATAAGGACTTGGAGGCTATAAGTGGATGGTCTGGCCGGTTTGGTGTGGCAGTAAACCCCACGAAATGCCAGGGTATTATTATTGGTAGTCCCCGTATGATGAACAGGGTGGTGCTCGCACATCTTCCTCCCATAACTCTCGATGGTACGGTGATTCCTATTGGTTCAAGTGTCAAGAATCTCGGTCTGTATCTTGATGCTACGTTGAGCTGGCGGACTCAGGTCTCCAGTGTCAGCCAACGCGTTACTGGTGCCTTGCGTAATCTGAACCGGTATAGAAGGTTTCTACCACCCACGACCAAGGCAATGCTTGTGCGGTCCCTCATCTTTCCCATAATCGACTATGGTGACGTGTGCTATTACGATCTCGGCTCGGACCTGCTCAACAAGCTTGATCGTCTTATCAACAACTGCATTAGATTTGTCTTTAACTTGCGCAAATACGATCATGTTTCTGGGCATAGGTCTGAGTTGAAATGGATGCCCATCCGGCAGAGAAGGGCTCTCCGTGTTTTGACAACCCTTTTCTCAATCCTTCATTCTCCCACTCCCCCTTCGTATCTGACTCCTTATTTTCAATACCGTTACTTGGGACACTCTAAAAATCTTCGTTCTTCTCACAATCTTCTTCTTCACTGTCCTTCTCACAGTTCCGATACTGTCCACTCATCATTTCACATCCAATCTATTCTTCTGTGGAATAGGCTACCCTTGGAAGTCAGGAAGTCCTCCAGTAAGCAGGCGTTCAAGGTTGGAGTTCGTAAGTGGATTTCGGGTGGAAAGTTGGTAGAGTCTTCATAACCTATCTCTTTTATGTTTGAATATTTGATTGCACATATATATACATATATACTTATTTATTGATATATAATATATATATATATATTGATCTTTATTAATAAAATATTTATATTTACCATAGACCGTTGTATGTATACTGTCATTTTAAAAATTATATTAGATATAGTTGTCAACTTATTGCACCGACCACGCTCTCACTGCATCACCTAAAGGTTGGCTAGTAAGAATGCCCATGGCATTAAGCCCGCCTATGTACTTTTGTTGCATAAAGTTAAATAAATAAATAAATAAATAAGTTAGGTAAATGAAAATGGAAATATCTCGGACTTTCAAAAATCTTTCAGTAATATCATGGAGCGGTATATGATACCTTGGGCTTAGGACTCATGATCAGAATCTTATCCCGCACCTTCCGCGGTGTCGGAATGGAGACGGAAATTTTAAAACTCACGAGACCGCAGTTTTCTGCGGTCCAGCAGTCACCGCGGTTGCGATTATCACCTGCAAACTTGAAGGTTCATTATAGCGAGACGGGCGGGCGGTTAAACAATCAGTTGAGTTCCAGACCGGCCCTCCCGTTGCGATCGCCCGCCAACCGATCGCAGAGCGCGCGGTTGCTAGCCGCCCGCGTGCAGCGGGAGCCGCAAACAATCGCAACCTCCGCGGGCGTAAACGGCGTCGTAAAAATTGCTTTAAATTTTTCTATACATGTCTGTATTCTACAAAGACTGCGGGTCCGCAACCGCGGAGGGCGCGGGGCAAATCGCGCCGTGGGTCTTTAGCCAAAGAGGCTCACATCATTACATGGGACTCGCAACGTGGGTGGTTCATAGAATACATTTGTCTGGACCTTAAAAGAAACGGGCCTCTGAGTTTATTACAATATCCCTTCTCGAAGTGCCATGCTTCCACACCTAAACTTATTCTGTTTAAGTAACAGTATACTATACAACCTAAACCAATAAATCTTGCAAACTCATTCTCTTGCGTCAGCATCATCGATCTATTCACGAAAAAGCAGTCCATATTCTTATTTTGGCAAAAGCATCGTTGACCTAATGACCTAACTAGCATTTGGTACATTTCTTATTCAGTTTTCTTGGCACAAGCTTTCCATATTATTAGTCTAGGTCTAGTCTAGGGTATTTATTAAAATGGGGTGATGTTAGGTATCCTTAATAACATTCCTTGACAGCCTGAATCTTTATTGACGAAGAAATAAAGACGTTTCATAACTGTGGCAATATTTTTTATGACTAATAGCAAGAAGTATTTATTCATTTGTCTTGATTGTTAGACCCTTACAATAGGATCAATAACTAATTTTCATTTTAATGTTAATCTGGTAGATTATTTTAAAACAAGTATTTTTTATTTTCTTACGGAAACAAATACTTTCGACGATATATCGATTTGAAATATCACGTGAAGTCACTTCTATGTAGGTACATCTTATACGTAGAAATGAAGTAGTTAGCTCCCACTCTTAAAATTTATTTCGTATTGTCTAAGTATTATTTTCTTATACGACAAAAGTCGTACGTCAAATACGACGAGGTTGGGCTATATAAAGTAATTGACAAAAGAAAAAGTTATAGAATGGGGTTATATTTATATTGCACTATCGTTACACAACACTTTTACCTAGAATCCTAAGAAGTTAAAGACAAATGGCATAACATAACAGCTAAAGCAAAGAGCTAAGATAAAGACATAATAGACAACAGCTTGCTGCTTCTAATAAGTTCTAATTGTTATATGTGTAAATTTTCTGAATAAACAAATCACATTTTTGTTATTAAACTGGCAATCACTTACAACCACTTCACAAAAAACTTGTCAGGTGACTCGTTTATTTTCTATAACTTACAATATTAAAATTAAGTACGAATAAATATAACTTAAAATACAAATAACTAAAAGCTCAAATAAATACACCTTAAAAAAATATCTTAAGCTTAAGGCATCAAAAAAAAATATTCCTCGTCCCTATCGTGAGGTAGTGCGCCCAAAAGAGTGACAGCATTGCCACGTTGAATGGCAATGCTTAATAAGTTTAAGCATTGTTTAAGTCTGGCGACTATCTTTGCCCAAGGTAGTCGCCAGACTTTCGATCACCTGAAGTGTCAGGTAACTATCTCATATCTGACTAGCTTCTGTTAACGGCTTCGCCCGCCTCCCGTGCTACAAAAAGTAGCCAATGTGTTATTCCAGACCATAGTCTGAGGCCTTAGTATGAGTTTATTTTACGTTTAAAGTAGTTGTAACGAGTACGCGTTCGGCGCTGTGATTGGTTGCTTCATTGGCGCCGGCCAATCAGAGTGCCGAACGCGTACTCGTTTCGAATACTTTAAACGTAAATCAAACTCGTACTAAGGCCTCTGGCCACAGCAAGCGCGGGCCTGCGGACGGCGACCATGGGTGGTTCCCCGTCCGACCAGAAACAGACCCGAGCGTATGGCGCGTCGCGTTCCGCGCGCGCTTCAAAGAGCCATCAGACTACCACGGATGGGGCCCAACAGGGCCCATGCCGATTCGGAGTCGCGGAGAACCTAACGGGTTACCGGGGCTCCGGCTCAACGTGCAGGAGAAGGAACGGGGTGGTTTTTAGTCAGTAAGAGTTTGACACTCCCTCTCGCCTCACCCGGGCGGAAGCAGTCAATCGGTGATTTTCCCCCCTTAAAAAAAAAGACGACAATCTACCCCTGTTCCAAATTTCATCCCGATCCCTTCAGCAATTTTGAAGTGATTGAGTGACAAACATACAAAAACAAACTCACCAACTTCCGCACTTATAATATTAAGTAAGAAGTACCTAAGATAAGACGCTCATGCTTTACCCAACTTAAACAAACAGGGCATTATCCAGTAATCCCATAATGATAACCAAAGCAAGCCATTAGTAAGAGCAAGTTAAAAATATAGTATTTATAAACTATTGCACCCACGGCCTGGCTAGCGGCCAATTTTGGAACTGGAGACGTGATATACGGGTACAGATTCGTTCGAGCCGAGATTGTTAGTTTTGTGGGGTAGGGTACGATAACTCTGTTGGTAAGTGATTTATGCCGCACAGGGACCGTGTGTTTTAAATGGGGGAACATCATAGAATGTCTTCTCCCACCTGGGTGAGGCGGGAGGGAGTGTCAGACTCTTACCGACTAAAAACCACCCCGTTCCTACTCCTGCCCTTCGTGCCTAAAACATTTCTTTTGGTGAGTGACAGACAGTACACAGCTGTAACTACTTCGCGTAGCCAGACTGTAGAGGTAGAAGAGAGCTGATAGAGATTCACTCAAAATTATTTCTGAAATTGCGAAACCAAAACGTGTTGGGCGCTGTGATTGGTTGATTTATTGGAGCCAGCCAATCAAAGTGCCTAACGCGGTCTCGTTTTGATTACTTTAAACGTAAAACAAAGTTGTACTAAGGCCTCGAAACTGTTTACAACGTCTCCAATTGGCTATAATTTGTTTCAACTTTTCAATGCAATAAATAATTAAAAAATACTATATTCAATGGATGAGAGTATGATACTCTCATCCATTGATTTGACAATTTACCTACTTTTGGATTTTCCTCGCTAATTTTAATGAAATAAGTATGCTATTTGACGCAGAAATATGGTGACGTCATAAGTTGCGATCCAATACGAAATTCATAGAAAAGTATCGTTTTTGACATTTCAATAAAAGTACTACCTGTCAACTACCGTATTGTTTTACATAAAAATAGTGCGCGCGCGGTTACTAGTCTTGACTAGCGGTGCCGTACCGACCCGTATGTTCGGATACACGTTCTAGCTCCGAAACACTACATTATCACAATCTACGATCTGACCTCCAAACATATTTGAGTGAAACATGCGACGGTAGACCGAATGTAATGCTATTTACTTCAAGAATATAATATTACTAGTAAATGCCCGCAACTTGTACGCGTGGAATAGTGACTTGGGATAGTTCGCC